GTTTTACCACGGATACCACACACAGGCCTGAGGAGGAGGAAAGGAGATTAGATCAGGAGAGGGTACCAACAGTCAATAATCTGGGTAGAACAAAACTGATTAAGAAATACTGTAGTACTGCACCACATGCTGGACTGAGACTGACTGACGACTGACTGACTGTGAACAGTAGTGAAAATATTTAATCTCACCTAGACAGCATGCGAGAGGTGTAACGTTGAGTGATCCCATCAGCATGGCCAGAGCCATACCTGGAGCCTCCCGCTCGATCACCTCTCTGGTGGCCTACGACACAAACAGGGTCTATTAGTTAATTATAAATGTTCAAAGCTAGTTTTTATTTTTTAACAAGGGCTTGCTCATCCCCCCCCCCCTCCTGATAAGTGTAGAAGTCAGTGTCTCTTTGTGTTTGTACTCAGGTGTAACATCTCGCGGGGCAAAGCCAGTTCCTCCAGTCGTGAGAATGAGATTCAGCTCTAGATCATCACACCACTCCAAAAGAGTATCCTGTACACAGAGATAAACACAAACAAAGAGAATAACTCAATCAAGTCCCCCATGTGACTTGAATCAGACTGTCGGCTCCCTAACAACTCCAAGGAGCTCGTCTGAACATTTCAATTCATTCAGAGACAAGAAAAGCAGTGGAGTGAGGAATTACAACTGGCTTTTTTTGGCTGATTGATGGATGGTTACGCAAAAAAAACACTTGAGAGTAGGGCTTGACTGGTATGAGATTTTCGAGACCAATAGGATACCAGAGGGGAAAACTCCATTATTGCTAATATGGGGGGACTAGCTCAGTCTATAGGGACCTGGGTTGGGAATGGAGAGTCGCAGGTTTAAGTCCCCGCAGACCAAGAAAATACATTTGTCTGGTAGCTGGAGAGGTGGTAGTTGACTTCCGAGGTGTACTTGAGCAAGGCACCAGCTCTGGAGCGCCCTCTGTGGGCCGTCACTCTGACATCTCTCCATTAGTGCATGTCTATAGGATCCTGTGTGTGCATGTGTGTGTAGCATGTTAAACAACAGAGTGTAAATTGAATTGCCCTTGTAGAATTGATAAAGTATATCTTCTATATCTGAGAAGGAAACTAACATTTTCTGTGTGGCTTGCAAACTAATTTTGACAAGACCTTCGTCACATATGACAAACCAAAGACACTCAGAAGGCTTCTCTCTGATCATGTAGCCTCGTTCTAGACAATGGTATGGCCATTTTCCCTAAATTGATAAGACAGCTGGAGAATGACAGGACATTTTAGGACGAGTGTGGGGACGACATGAGCTGTTCACACATATGCACTCCTGAAAATTTCGACAAAATGTCAGCCTGCCCCTGAAATCTTCAAAAGTTTTTATCCACACATGTCCCTCACAGAGTTACAGTTTTCTGTGTTGAACCAGAGGTTGGGGATCCCAATCGGCAGGCCAAGATGTTAAAAGGACACTGTGTTTATTATATTTAGATGAGATATCCAAGATGGTGGGCAAAGTGGAGTTCAACACTAATATTATAGTTTATCCACAGTATGAACCCAAGAGCCCGGTAGAATATACTGGCAAGCAGAAAAGATTATGAAGCAAATTTATTAAGTGCACAAGTAATTAAGTGTCATTCGCACCATAACGTCACCCCCCCACATGGTAATACAGTAGTGAATTTCCTGAATATTATCAGCCCATCCTGACTTAACGGTGAAATTTTACCAGGAGGGTGGCAGGAAAAAGTCGGGGTAAAAAATGTATCCGTTTGAGTTCAAACATGCCGCTTACAGTTTCTGTTCATGTGTGAAAAACAAAACAAAACACATACCTTGATTTCATCAATCTCATCTGGAACGATCTTGTAAGCTGATATGAATCCTCCCAGGCTGCAGGAGTTAAAAGAGCGATGTGAGTTTAATCAACCCATCATATGTGTATAACATAACTGGATGTGTCTGTGCAGACCATAGACGTTATGTAGACTTACAGTGAGGGATCATGGACCAGGTCCTTCAGGTTGACTCCACTCCTGTCCTCTGCCAAGTTCCTGTAGCAGCTGTCACTGACTGAAGAAGAGACAGAAACCGAAGACCGCACACAGGATCCATATGAGGATGATATTACTGATCACTTGTAGGAAATAGACTTGATCATTGAAACACTGCATGTCTACCAAACAGAGGAAACTCAGTTGATACAAATGAGCAAGTTGTAGCTGGGCAAACTGTAATTGAGCCCCTTTGGCTGCCAGGTATAACATTTCAGCCTTCACAGCCAGTTTGAGTGCTGCCACTAAAGCAATCTAAATGTTGAATGGACTGTAAGTCTGACAACTCAAATTGGATTTTACACTACAAGTCACATTCACACCACATCCACACACTGATGGCAGAGGATACTGTAAAGTGCCCATCAGTACTTACTGCTCCCATTCACAAGCTAATGCTAGTTCCACCAGGAACAAATTGGGGTTAAGTGTCTTTCACTTCAACTCTTGGACTGCAGGAGCAGGGGATCAAACCTTCTGATGGAGATATACAAAGCAATATAAGCAATCAAAACATAAGTAAGAGCAAATTACCCCATTCATTCCTCCCCAAAAATAAATCATGTTCATGTTAAACAACACAATACAAAACCAACAATCCACTTGTTTAATTCCACTCCTTCCCCCTTCTTCTCCTAGGCTTCAGTGTCAATAACAAACCCCCTTGTTTTACCGTTATCTTAACATAAAACGGCAGCTATTTCCATTTTTTTGGAGAACCACAGCCAAACAGACTCAGCAATGGAGGTAGTCCTCCAAGCAACAGCAGCAACATCCCTGGTTTTTATTAGAGATTAACAACCTCAGTGGTACATGTGCCCCCAAGTGTTGTTAGTTGTGTAGACAGAAGCTTAAAGAGTCTGCTCCCTTCAGGTGGGTAAGTTTGACCACAGAGCCCATTTCAAAGTCCAGTCCAGCCGCCTCCATCATTTTTGCTCACTTGAATATTGTTTTAGGCTTTCTCTACCAGTAGTGTTCTCTGGTAGGAACCAGGTCCTAAATAGGTCCTTCCCCACAACAATCATCTTTATTGTGGAGAGCTTAGGGATCAATAAAGTAAATCTTGACCACCACACCATGGTCTGGTGTAGACCAGCTCCTAGTTATGCTGCTATAGGCTTAGACTACCGGGGGAACTGGCACCATGAGCTCCTATCTCTCCCTCTCGCTCTCTTTGCATTCATAAGATATTACTGCATGTTGCTATCTGTAAATCTTAGTTACTAAACACATATTTGCATGGGAGCTCCTGAGCTCTCATTGAGCTCAAGAGCTTCTTGTAGGTTCCTCAGGATCGGCATCCCCCCACCTCCCCGCCCTTCTATGTCAGTTGTGTTAGAAGCCCGGGAGGCCTTGTCCCGGCAGCAGAGGCCAGGCTCTCGAGTAGACGGAGCCGTGATCTGGCACTACTACCACTGGACGTTCCTGACGCCCAGCCACCACCACCGGACTGTGTCGTCCCCCACAACCACCGCCGTCCTCATTCATGCACGGCCTGCTCCGACCTCCACCTCAGCGGCAACGAAGTGTGGACAACAGGAACGCGAGGAATACATCTTAGCTCATCTCCCCCTATCCCATCTTTCTTTACGAGTATGGTATTTTACCTGCTCTTTTGTAAAGCGCCTCGAGATAACACTTGTTATGAATTGGCGCTTTACAAATAATGACTGATTGATGGATTGATGGTGACAAGTTGATGCACCCCTAAGCAAAGTCACATGATGATCAGATACAGAAGTCTGTTTCCGGTGACACCAGGATGGGTGCAGACTTGTCGAGCTGGGTTTCGCTTGTTACCCTCACTCCGTAAGAGGGAGATGGTCTTCTATAAGGGGATATCCCCTCGTGATGTACCTTTGGTCAGGATCAATCTTGAAGCCGATGGACTCAAACACAGGGCACAGCATCATCACTGTTGAAGGTCCAGCCAATAACGGTCTCCTCCTCCTGAACTTTGAATACTACAATGTGCACTAGTGGTGGTTTATGGTACGACCTGTCCATCTTCATGTTGCACACTTGCAAGAATTCGATTCTTTCATAATCCTCAGTCTTCTGAATGTACTGAAGGAATTATTTTTGTGTACCTATTAATAATCTAGACGCCAAATTAAATTAAAAAGGGGACCAGGTTTTAAAATACTAAAAGCCCATTCATACATTAGGAAATTAAAGCATTTTCTTTTAGCGTACTGACAGCAGCAACATCCCCGTTGATTCATGGTTTATATTTTAAAGACAACTGAATTGCTGAGTAAAATGTGAGATTGTCTAGATCCACTTCAATACAAAGTGTAAACAGAGATTTTAAAAGCCTGCCGAGTGCGTTTAACCTTCCTTTAATCAGTCACAACTCAGACTCTGTTTGAATGTTTCACTGCCTGAAAGATTTAAGGGAATAGTTTGGCACGTTTGGAATAATTCTCCTTTGATTTCATGCCCTGAGTTAGATAGAAATGACACCACTTATTATGTCCATTCAGAAAATATGAAACTACAAGCCAGTGTCTGGCATGTATGCTAAGCTATGTGAAGTGTTGCTGACCAGCTGCTGGAACATGACTTGATGAATAGGACTGTTATCAACCTTCTCACCTTACAGTCAGTAAAATACCTTTTTTAACAGGGATGTAAACCCATATCTCTGAATACATGAAACTTTTTTTTTAAATGTAATAACTCAATATGGGAAAGGAATTAAAAAAAAAAAAAGATAGCCTACTTATGGGTTCAAATCTGTTACACCTCTTATCTTAAACAAACACAGTACGCTGATTTCAAGGACACAAATATTTAGAGATCATCCAGGCCGTCTATGTCAGTCTTTAGGGGAAAGTTTGTGTTTCCATAAGCGACTTTTTCCTCTCCTACAGATACAATTTCATCTGGCTTTATAAATATGAATGTATAGATCCTCATGTTTGTATTTTACATCATTACCATATTAAAATAAATTGACGAGTAACACGGCATGAGCAATAAGTAAAGCTTTTCACTCTCCAACAAGTTCTGTAAGTTTGTGTCTTAGCTTCCTGAGCAATTAGGCAGTTGTAACAAAAACTAGAATGTGTCCCAGTGTTGAAAGTCACATAGACAAAAAGATTTATAAAAGAGACCCTAACTATGACAATTTATCTCAACTATCCTGCTCTTCATTTTTGTGTCATTAAACAATCCTTAACATACCTATTTTAGAGGGCGCAGGTAGCTTAGTGATTAGTCTGCGTGCACCCAATGTACAGAGGCTGTAGTCCTCTAAGCAGGTGGCCCGGGTTCAAATCCGACCTGCGGCTTCTTTCCTGAATCTCATTCCCCACTCTCTCTCTCTCTCCCCAATTTCTGACTTTATCCACTTTCCAATCTCTAAAGAAAGGCATTAATTATTCAAATTTAAAACTCAACAACAAGATAATCAAGATAAGACAAATACTGTGCTGCTTGCTGTTTTGTCCAGAGGCCTTTTATTTTGGTAAATGATTCAAAGTGTTTGCCGTTTTATTTTGGCCACAAAAATGTGATGCAGAGGTTGTAAAATCAATGAGTAATCATGTCTAATAATCGTGATCCAAGTATCAATCAAAATAATCAGGATTGTGATTTTTGCAATAATCAAGCATCCGTTCTTAAACTCTGCAAAAGTATTTGTACAATTTAGACAGTATGCAGGAGTTTGCCTGCAATGTTTGGTCATTGAAAACCAGAAATTACCCAATACAGAGCACACAGGACTTATATTTATGTTGCCGTGGTATTGAAACAGGTATAGTTTGATTTTTAGTGGTAGCATATCGAAGTTTTCAAATTCTGGTATCGTGACAACCCTAGATATATACAGTCGGCCCATTTCAAGCAATTCTAACATTTAATTAATATATAGTTTGGGCGATAATATTTATGTGAACATCAAATACATTTTCCAGAAAAAGAAGAATTAACATTGTACTGTGTCACTCAAAATAGATTAGGATTAGAAAAATATAGGCAAACAGCATTTTGCTATAGATAAATATTTGTTGTAACTTGTAGGTTTTTCAAAGGTTGATGTGGATTGATTGTTGTTGAGGACAGTTTCTGTGCTGCAATGCATACATTACTGAATGTATTATATGAGACAGGACTGTGTACCCACTGAAAGATGTAAATATCTTACACTTTTAATATAAGATAAAACATACTTCACGGTGCCCAACGGGAAATTAAGCTTGGGCAAACTATATACATATTTGATATCCCATAACAGCTGGGCAGTGAGCTTTTTCACACACCCTGCTTAGGCAGGAGAGAAAGTGCATTTGTTGGGAACTATTTTTGGCTGTGGATTAATTTCAAGACACATTTGGTGCACTAGTGGACTCACATTTGAAGCAATATCATACCAAGTGCAGTGTGTAGCTTTAATCTAGTTGTTGCTAACCCTTGTCCTGAACCACAAGGCAAACAGATGTTTTGATAATATTACAATTTCACTAAGTACTCTATCAGCCTTTGATGCTTTGGTCAGTAGAAACAAAGGTCATGTGGTCATTCTAAAAAATATATCTGATGTCACCTTTACTCCATTTGTAAAAACAAAAATATATTTTTTAAGCATTTTGTAAAAATTAAAACCTTTTACATGTATGACCCCACACATGACCCAGCTCTCCTCCTCATACAAGACACATCACACTGGATATATATGGTTCTGATCGTGTAATAACACATGACGGGAGGTTGTGGTTAACAGCTGGATGGTCACAGGGGTTATCTGCTGTCAGCTGAGGTGCTAGCTCATCAAAACCACGACAGACATCCCAGCCAGCAGCTGGCCTGCATCCTCTTAGCATTATTCTCACGTCTTCTCTTGCCTTGACAAGGAGGCAGCAGGGCTACTGGTGACAGTCACACGACTCTAAACTGGTTCCAGTACCCTCCTGCACGATTCACAGGCGATCATCCACCGAGCTAATGAGGAAAGCTGCTCAAACAAACCTGCACTACAGAATTAATTCCGCTTTGACGCTGCAGCCTCGCCATGTAACCAGCTTTAATTGGCTACAAAACGCAAGATTTATTATTTATTAATGTATATCTCTGCACCGAGTGTAAACATGTTTGCGTAAATTCAATGACTGCCGAAACATCCATGAAAAAAAAATGTTAATGTAAAGCATCCTCAGAAGCAGCTAACATATCGGATCTGCAAAGGGACATGAATAATGCAGCTGGTGTAGGCTCGGTAAAGCTACTTTGCTCGAAAATGTAAAGTGAAGTTAGCAGCAAAAAAGCATAGCTAAACCGGAAAAGAACATTGTTGTCTTCAAAATAAAATTCCAATTCCAGTTATCAGCCCGTATTCGCAAGTAATAGCCTGTCTTATTTTGAAACTTTTAACCGGATGTTCTGTTTGACAGCAGTTATCTTGACGCTGATTAAAATATCTCGTTACACTGTCGATATCAATCAAAGTACAACACTAAATGTGACTTCTAGTTTTTACATGCAGTTATAAACGCTCCAAATACGTGTACAGAAATGCATATATGATCGTTTCGTAGCAATCTCCACATCTGTCCGACCTGTCAGGCAGCTAACGCTAGAGCAATGACAGTCAACGGAGCCGGTTAGCTTAGCATCCAGGCTAACGGGAGCTAGCTGGCTAGCTCGGCGGCGATGACAGTTTCGTATCGTGACAGCGACGCGCGCAAGCAACCGACGGAAAATGCAGCACAGGTGAACGACAGAGAAGGTTTGTGTCTTAAAATATCACACGGTGTCCTTACCCGTCAGAATCCCCACTCGGGTCTGATGGTCGTGGTTGGTGAGCACCATCCCGTCCGCCGCCATGTTTACAACCTCTGTCTGCACCGAGCCGGCACATACATAGAAACAGTGTGTGCACCTCTGGAGGACGGTAAGGTGTGTGTGTGTGTGCGTGTGTGAGTGTGCGTGTGTGTGTGTGCGTGTGTGCGTGCGTGCGTGTGTGTGTGTGTGTGTGTCCTCTGGTGGAAATGTCCTCCAAGTAATAAACATTTGGGATCACACATCTCGTACTTTGAAACAGAACAAAATATCATTAGGTAGTTATGTTTTACTGTAAATCATGCACACACCTGCACAGCTCCTCTATTGCACATTTTACACCTTTTGTGTTTTTACATTTTCATATTCTATTATATATTTTTTATATTGATTTTTATATTTAAGTTTGCTGTCAGCTTGAGCACTCTTTTTTTTTTTTTTTTACATATTCTTACTGTTTTTAATTTAGTCCTTTGCTAATTGTTTTGCACCAAAACACAAGTCAAATTCCTTGTAGGCTGTGGCGATCCTAGATTCTGTTGGGGCCCGAAGCAAAAATTCATTTGGGAACCGGAGGGTTGCCGGTTCAAGTCCCAGTGCGGACCAAATATGGAAGTTGGTCTGGTAGCTGGAGAGGTGCCAGATCGCCTCCTGAGCACTGCCGAGGTGCCCTTGAGCAATGCACCAAAACCCCCTCCCCACCACCAGCTCAGGAGTGCCTGCCGGGGGCCGCTCCGTCACCCTGACATCTCTCCATTAGTGCATGTCCATAGGATCCTGTTTGTGCATGTGTGTGTATATTTCAGCCTATGTGTGTGTTCATGACTTACAGAGTGTAAAAACAGAATTTCCCCTTGTGGGATCAATAAAGTAAATCTTAATCTTGATTACCCAATGTCTGCCAGGGTCCAGACACTTACTGCTCTTTCTCTTTTTTCACTCCAAGACAGATAATTCCTCTTTGCTAACTTTGGTTTTCACAGCAAATAATGCATGGAACGCTTGGTATGGCAATGAGAGAGAGTGCTGTCAGACGGGGCCCCTTAGGGAGGTTTCCTACTGTCATTGCAAAATGACAGAGCCGCTGCTGTGAGGCGATCCCTATACTGTCCTGGAACTGCCTTGCCGATTGACAGGCAGCGATCTCTGCTTGTAGGCCTATGTGTAAATGTACTTGGTAATAAAAAAAACAGTTCTGATTCTGTTTTCTAAATTGTGTTATAATTGTGTATTAATGGTTCAGTCTGAATCCTCGTCAGAAATACTTTATTAATCCACAGAGGGAAATGTGGTCGGTACAGTTGCTTTTAGATACGATATAGCAGTTGAAATATATAGGAATAGAAATATGGATAAAATAAGGAATGTAAATAAGATAAAGCAATTAGTACGATAAAGAGTGTTAAAGAAATACAGCTCTGTACCAAGTGCATGTTAATGAAGAATAAACTAAACTAAATTAGCAATGTTTGAAAGCACATTGAAGAAATAAGCAATATATACAAAGAGCAGTATTACAGTAATATATTACAAGAGTATTGCACAGTATGTTTCAGTATTGCACGTCGTGTTAATGGCCAGATAATGGACCAGTTTAGATTGAGAATTTTACACAGTTTAAATAAATAATGAATAACGGAGAGTTTGCAGTTTTCAGTGTGAAATAGATCAAGGTCAGACAGACTGTTTGACACTCAGAGGGAGGAGTTGTTAAGTTTGATGGCATCGGACTTGAAACCTTTTTGCGTTGTAACCTCTCTCCATTTTTCAAAAGCCTCTCCAATAATGATCCTAGTGTTTCCACATTTGTGCTCATGGAGCTTATTAGAAACATTTTAGGTCGAGTAGAATCTGTAATATCTAAACTAATGCGCTTCCTCGCTTCCATCTCTGCAACATTTGTTGGTTTACTGTTTGCCTGGCAAACCTAGGGGTGGCCACAACGGCCGTGTGGGGGTGCCTTAAAAACCGCCTACCTTCTCTGGTTAAAACAAACACAGACCATTTCAGGACCAGAATCTAAAGTTAGAAGGAGGACATACTGGCTGCTGCATCAACATAGCATGTTTCCTTAATGTCTGATGATATGTACGGTCCTTTTATGATTTAATTCAGTAGCTTACATATTGCTCCATAATGAGAAGAAGGCCTTAAAAATGAGCTGTTGTCAATGATATAGTTGACTCACTGATCGAGCTGATCTAGTGACCGATCTGTCTCGCACTGTGTGAATCCTGGTTTTGGTCCTGATCCACGCTGGTCTTGTTTGCCTCAATTTTGATTGGTGTTGCCTACAACACTTGTTTAAGTATAAAACTATATTTTTCACACATGATTGAAAACATTACATTTAAAGCAGATTTTCATTGAATTTTAATGATAATGAGAGATTCAATTTTGATAACACACATTTGTACATTAGAGAAAAGACACAGAGAACCCTGTCGGCAGGATCAGAACTACACAGGAAACATCAAAAAACATTAGTATCATCCCGTAGTTGCATAATCAAAGCGGTTACCAAGACAAAGGCACCGCTGATCCAAAGCTCAGAATGCTCCTTATACTGTAGATGTCCTCAGGTATTTTTTATGTGAGGAGGGGACTAAGGGAAGCCTCGAGTGTTTGCTATTCCCTCGCAAGGAAAACGTAGCCTCTGGTTCATTTCAGTGTCACAAGCTTCATTTCTGTCCATGAGGAAGCAGCTGCAGTGCACAACATGAACCGACAGCCATCAACTCCACATTCTTCTTCTGGGTCGATTGTAGGTCACAGGTCAAGTGCTTAACCTTTTGAGTGTGCTTCAGTGTATCAAGTAATACGTACACTGTTACAGTGTAGGGGAGACCGCGCATTGTTACAGAAAGTCATTTTTCTCAAATCAGAAACACACAGTCTTGACGTTCATACTGCACATGCTCAGTTCGATCCCGGAGGATGACAGAAGACGCATCAAACATCTGCTTGTGAATTTTTGAGGAAAGTATTGATTCTATCAACTGTACTTTTTCATCCTGTTATTTTTCAATGAACAAAGCAAAACTTACTTAGTCTGACTGCTTATTTGTTCGCCTCTGAGTAACGTGTCAGAGTCAGTGTGTTGTTCAGTCTCCACTGTAAACTATCTTTATGGTCGCTACATCTTGCTCCTCTGCTGGTTTCGACCGTCCTGGCTCGTCTTTTTCTGTTGAGAAGAGGCTGGAGTTGACTTTAAGGATCCACTCTGTGATCCTCTGCTCCGTGTAATACTCGTCATCGTCATCAATATCACGGTCTTCCTGCAGCGTCTCCGGACGACCTTTGTCTACAGAGAGCTCAGATTCTGTTTCAATGGCGGAGTCATCGGAGCAGAACCGTCTTTGTTGCCTCTCTTTGCAGGGACTGGCATCATGTTTAGACTTCATCATACACCCGTCATTGGCACCGGGATCACCGGCGTCATTCTTTTGTCTTTCTGGAGGGTCCACTGGTGCTGGAGAAGATGTTCTGCCTGGATGACCATCAAAAGTCTGCCGAATCCGTCTGCTGCGAGTCTCTGAATCTTTAATGGCTGCTTTGTTTCCCGCTGTAAGAGCAACACTGATTTTATTGAATTTGTTTGACTCCTGATTTACTTTCCCACTCTGTTTAACCAACACATGAAACACCTGATGTTCTTTTGCTTCTTCCGACTTCTTTCTGTTTGCTTTTGCCGCGTCTGTTCCTTTTCTAGAGATGATTCTGGATCCCTTGATAGGTGGAAAATGGATGATTGTGGTTTGTCTTGGTTTTGAGAGTCCTGTGACAAATGTTGACCTGCTCAGGACATGTGCAGTATCAGTTAACTTTGCAGCAGCTTGAAGATAAACAGACGATCTTTTTTTGATGTCAATCACCGGTCTGTCAATCTGACGGACGCTGAGCTCCAGAGCTCGACTTTTCCTTTCAGCAAAATTCAATCCCCACCGTCCGAACCTCCTGCTCCTGTTTGATTCCGACCATTCCGGCTTTACCTCTGTGTGACAGGTTTTCTTAACTTCAGCAGCAGCTTGTTGCATCCTCAGTCAGGCAAACACATCCATCTTTTGGGCGCATGGAACCACTTGACTGTCAAACGTCTTTTTATGCGCTCTGTTCATGCAAGACCCGGCCCACTCCACTCCACACCCACACACACCCTGAGCAGTCACTCGACCTGTAACATTACACTTTGTTTCCTGAAGGGAACCAAACTCTTTCACGGTTGATGCAGAGTCATAAATCAAGCGGAATAAAAACACACAAAGGTGACACTTGAGTCCTGACAATGTAAATGTCAATAGAGAGGTTTATCTCCGACCCTTTGACGTCTTCAGAACATGTTATTAGTCAACAGGAAGGTCAATGGGACAATACCCTCTCCCCCATTTCCACCTCCACCTTATCCTCTACATTGCAAACACATACTTGTGTTCTCTTTTTTCAGATAAATCTATCATTTAAAGTATAAAGGAATACTTCATTTTGGGTCACACATCACTAAGCCGTCTGTTAAAGAGTGAAAGGTTATTAAACCTTAGGTCATAAAACCCCGGTTCAGTAGAGGTCATTAATGTGTGTTTTCTTTAGGGGACTCTTGTTGCAAATTTGCAATATGTCAGCACCCGTCTCTGGGATTTTCTGGCTTCATCCTGTTCAATGGGAAGAGGCTGAGACATACTGTCCATTTGTCTATGTGAAACCAGTCTATGGTTTGTGCCAACTGTAGAAGTTAAGAGTCTGGTCAGAGCCAGGCTAGCTGTTTCCCTCTGCTCACAGTCTTCATGCTAAGCTAGGCTAATTATGTCCTGACTCCAGCTCTGCACTGTCATGAGATTTGATCGTCTCCTCTTAATCTTTGAAATAAAAGTTAATTAAGCATCTTTTTTTTTCAAAAAAAGGGGAACCATCAAGGTCATTTTGATTCTGTTCTCTGTGTTTCGTTTCCTTCACCTGACCTGACAAGTCAGTCTTACAAATAAGCCTCCTGTAAAATATTCACCACTGATGGTATCTGATCTGTCACTGTGGATAAATGGGACCAGATCGTCAGAGCAGGAAATGACTGGTGTGTTCTGAAAACCTAAACCTGAGGTTTCAGTTTCAAGTCACGTTCTTTCTTTAAGAGCTCCTCAG